TAGGCGCGAACGCAAACCATGGTGGATATCCACTAGATGTAATTTTTGATTTTGCTTACTAAGTGTAGATGGCGATACCATTTTCGCTCATTGAATATCAACTCATGCTCAACCCGCCGTAACTGAGTTCGACCGAAATTGGTTTCGCAATCAGATTCCATTAGAGACTGGAGTCGAGAATTTCCATTTATTGCTGAAGAGTCCTAATAAGGATGACTTTCTCCTTAGTGGGCAAAATCAAAGGCAGAGTGTTGAAAATATTTTGAGTGTTTTAAAAATATTTTATATCTCTGCTATTTTCTTTCGACGTTATTCAATAATCATTGGTTACTTATGAACCTCTACTAAAGATACCCATAAAATATTTTGCTGAATATCCGAATATCTTCTATATCCTGGGATATAGACGGACATTTGGATATCCATATTAGATCCACTGGATATATTGGATATCCACGAAATATATTCTGTGGATATCTCTGGGATTTCTTGTATTGTCTGGAAGATACCCATTAGATATTTTGCTGGATATCCGTAGGATATCTTCTATATTCTGGATATAGACGGACATTTGGATATCCATATTAGATACACGGGATATTTCAGATTTCCTGTGGATATATTGGATATCCACAAAATATATTCTGTGGATATCTCTGGAATTTGGTGTGTTGTCTGGGGGGGGGGGGAGGGTTCCAGGCAACCAAAAGCTAAGTATATTGGAATCCATCTCTCTCATATGATTTACCAGCCAAAAACGGATTAAATAAATGACATGAAAAGTGGCTGTGTCAAAGTGCTCTGGTCAGTGGAGTAGCGTACAGTGGGCCAGGAAGAACGACGCCCCCTCCCCTCGCCCGATTGCGTTTGGAGCACCTTTTGCGTCCCTCACAGAGGTTTGGGCGTCCAAGAAAAGCTTCGTCCTCTCCAACTTTGGGTTACGCTACGCCACTGGCTCTGATCACAATCTCAGAGTCACAGCTCATTCGTTTTTTAAATTAATAATTGATTCTAGATCTAAATCTTTGAATTTACATTTCGAATCTTTTATTACTTCAAAAAATCTCTCGCAAGGTTTTCAACCACAATATTTTCTTTCAACATATTTCCTTTGTAAAATATTTATACTTTGATTACTATACGAGGCAAGAGAGAGGTCCGACACGCCCAACATAGGGCGCGGCCATTTTGAACCCTGTGACACAGTTTACAGCTAAGGAATCAGATCGCTCACTCTGCGTCGGCACTTTTGATCTCAATGTTTCAGTTTATACACTGTGCAACTCGGATAATACAATATATGACAACGGCCTATAATAAAACAGCAGTCTTCTGCGTATCCTGAATTTGTATCCCTGGAGTGGATGTTATTTTGGAACTTTCAACTGGTCCGAGTGAGCTAACTGATTCTTTAGCAATAAACTGTGACTTCAAAAATAATATTCACTGACACTGACAGCAGCAAGCAAAATATCAGGTGCGTTTTAATCATCCGCTTCTGCTTCCGGAATTGTCGGTTTAGTCGTTTTAACCTGTCAGATTAAAACAAGAAAACCGACAATTCCGAAGCAGAAAAGGATGATTAAAACGCACCTATTAAAAATATTGCGCCAAGATGTAGGCAACACGTAATAAGGGTTCAAAATGGCGGAGTTTTCTATCTCCTTTTAAAAGGCACTCAGAAAGCTGCGCAGTGCGACCATTCTCCGTATAGTAAAAGAAAATCAAAGTATGTGGTCTACGTACATATATAAACTTAAGGACTCTGGCGTATACACGTAACACAAACAAAATAACCTCTTTTTATTTGGAAAAGAAGAAATCCCAATATAAATTGTCACTAATTGTCAATATTTGTCATGACACGTAAATGTCACGATGCGTTTAACAGCTTCAACTCACATTTTGAACAGCAACATAAACATTATTTTTCTGCGTTCTCGTTAAAGTACTGGAAACGTTTCAACTTTCTAATCAAGTACTTTTCTATGTAACTAGGTAATAAAGAGAGGACTCATAACGTCGCTGAAAATCTTGTGCCATTTTGACACCAACGATATTTGACCAAAGGCGTAACATGTTGGAAATTAAAACAAGAACTTGTATTTATGTTATTAGTACTTCATTGATCTTTTTAGGTATAAAACAAGTTCAAAGCGTAAAATTTAAAATAAATAAGTAACAATAAATAAGACACAAGACAAAAATATATTGAAATAAACTAAATGAAATCGTTTACATAATAAAATAAATGTTTTTTTTATTCCGTAAAATAAAACAATGATCTACATGTATTACAAAAGATTTATTTTTACTTAATAAAGAATGACACTACCCAGATAGCACAGACGCGCTTTATGAATTCATACTGTATGTCAGTACGCTAAGGTGTTAAAATGCAGGAGAAATTAAATGCATATTTTTTCCAAAATTCTTTAAAAATACTACCTCGTTCTAGCGCAGAAATTACACTATCTATCATTTGGCGTAGGCATTCAAAGATATTTTTTGCTGGATCCACAGGAAATCTAAAATAAAACAACAAATAAATATTGCTGCAATTAAATAAGAAGCAAAAGTAAATTAGGATTTAATAAAAGTTAATATTTAGAATTGTACGACACGCCACTGGAAAAAATTACATGTTTGGCCATTTTAATATCATTAATTGTTTAAATATCAATGAAAAGCATAAAATAAACAAACTTGGCGGGTAAAATTTATTACTCTGGAGTGAGACATGTACAATATGTAAATACCAAGTTGTATAACACCAAACAAAATGAAAAATATAAGAAAATATATAAAGTGAAAACGATTGATGTTTATCTTTTACCTGTAAAACGTAATATCTGCTTATTTCTTGCCGCTATAACTTTAACAGTGATATGCCACACAATAAACCATTGTAATAAACCAATTATTAAATGTCGTTTAATTCAAAAATCAGAAATAAACACGAACAAAAACTTTGGTGTCACCGAAATGATTAGCACCAAAATAATGGCGGCCAATAGATAATCGGCACAGAATACAACGTGTGCTCGATATACTTGTTACGCGTCCTCTCTTTATTACCTAGTCTAAGGTTTAACCTTTGGTATACGTAACCAAATTGTTGAAAATGCATTTCCAACATGTTGCATCGGTTCATGGCCGGCTCTGCATAATAAATTCCGAGAATCAACTATTGTAACGGATTCACTTATATTCTGCTAACCGTCTTTTTCCGCTAACGTCGTCGTCCACACTGAGCAGATTGGATCGGGCTTAAGCCTTGGTTTCTTTGAACACTCCGTCGCGGAGAGCGGACAGTCCGTCGACCGCTGAGGACTGCGATTTTCGCCCGAGGTAGTTTTTTAAAAAATATAGAAAATGAGACTTTCTCTATGTCTGTACGTGCCGTCTATGTATTATGAATGTAAACGAAAGGTACTAAAATGGATGCAAATAAATTGTTTGCGTTGTTATTATTGTTGGAAGAGGAAGAACAAGAGGAACTGGCAATTGCAACCGTCAAAGTTTCCAATAAGCCAGTGAATGAGTTGTTTTTCTGTCGCGATACAGAAGATGCCTTTAATATCACTGTGCAGCGGAGGCTTTTTGGAAATGAAACCAAATTTAGGGAGTATTTTAGACTTTCTACAGATCTTTTTGAATTCGTGTTGAGTTTTATAAAGGACATAATTTCCAAGAAACCTAAAAATAAAGTCATGATGTCATCTGTATGTGTGAATTTGTCACTCATTGTTTTAAAATTAATAACAATATAGTCTCCGCACACGCCGACGATTCCGCTGATATCAAACTCAACCGATATCAACCGACTCTTCGCGACAAATCAGCGGCATGACGCCGTCCTGTTCAGCTAAGCGGATTCAAGAAAACCATTCCCATTTAAATACTCTGGTTGGATAAAATCGTCAAAACGCGACGGTTGACGGACTGTCCGCTCACCGCGACGAAGTGTTCAAAGAAACCAAGGCCTAAGCCTGTTCGCCGCACGATGCTCAGTCGCACACGCCTTGCTCATTCGGCCCGAACGTTCAGATGTATAAACACCTTTACGCTTAGTGCTTGCATCATCCTCGACAAGAAACAATTTCAAACAAGACTGTTATAAATTTTAGCCAATCAAAATACGACAAACAGGCGCGTGGAGGCTTTGAAATAAGACAATTGGTCAGACGACGTCACAAAGATGCTACGCGAGAACTTTTTTTTTGCATTAGATCGTTGTATACCTTGCATTAATGTACATCTTATTTTAATTTGGTCTCAGCAATGGCCGGCATTTTGATAAAAATGTAATTGCAGAATACACATAAAATGTGAAATATTTTCTGAATAAATCAACAAAGGGTAAATGTAGTTACAGCTCAATGTTGTGATATGTTAATCCTGTGAAAGATATGATGTAATAAAAGTGTTTATTAACGGATATGCCTTTGATTAAACATCGTCTGCTAAAAATCACCAGGTCTACTGTCTGCACTGCAAGGAAATTCATCTCCAGGTACCTTTACTAAAATACAGAACACTTGGCATTTGGTTCAATAACAGGGCCATATTAAATGATGTGTTATAATTGTTGGTATTACAGTACCGTTATAGCCCACTAGCCCACAAATACTCAAATCAGAATGGCCTTGATTTGTTTGTTTTGAATCAGAAACAGGGCCGCCGAGAGCCAGGCCGGGCCCCAGGACAATTCGCGATCGGGCCCCGTGACAAAAAAAAGGTCTCCAAACAAAAACTTTTCCTGTTCTACAATTGAAATTTCTAAAAAAAAAAGGTCTCCACGCAAAAACTTTTCCTCCTCTACTTCATTCATTTTCTAAAAAAAAAGCTCCTCAAACAAAAACTTTTCCTCTCTAGTCTTGTGGTGCCGAACTTCTCATAGAAACCAACAAATATCCGGTTGCCGGGCCCCGGGAATTAGTCCCGGCTACCCCCCCTCTAGTCGGCCCTGATCAGAAGCGGCCCATTTATCGGGGTCCATTATCTTCTACCTCCATATCTCTAATTCCTGCTATTTTTTACAGTTATCATCAAAAATTCAGACTACAGAAACAACATTCTTTGCTATGTGACGAATTGGGTTTAACGTCAAAACTACTACAGACCTCTCATGCTGCAGCCCGGCTCAACGGTTACGTTGCAGGCGTCGGAAAGCCAGAAGATCTCGAAAAAGACATAATCAAACTGGGATTATCGGAAAAGGCTGGAAAATATTTGAGGGTCCAGTACGCCGAAAACAAAGGAGGTGCCTTATATTGCTAAAACTATAACTGAATCACAGAACTATTGTCAAAGAGAAATACCTAATTTAATTATTGTAATTGGCGAATTTGGTAAAGTAAAGTTAAGATTTATTTTTTTCTGGTAACTTGTTTATTAAGCATCCGTTCATGTCTTATTTCAAGTAATTTCCAAATGTTATAAATAAAAAAAAATAATAATGTGCCATATATATACCTAATGTTCTACGAGTATATAATTAGAGTTCTACACATTATAGTTTGTAAATAAAACCAAAGATGTAAGATATGTTAAAAATTGTATAGAATTATTTATTTAGATATATGTTGTGTAGATAAACGTTGTACATTCCTATTCCTAAAGTAATTTTATAATAAAGATGTATTTAGTAAACATATTAGAAAAAAAAATACAGTTTTGAAATAATTTTAAAAGATTAAAAGACTATAATTCAGTGACATAATAATTACACTTTTATTTTCCTAATAGGTTTTTATACGATTCTTAAATTTAGAGTTACGCTGTTTGCCGGCAATACGTGAAATGACTAGGCATTTCAGGGAATGACGGATTTCACTAATTGACGCCGACATATACACCCATACTGTTCTAGTGTTAACTATTTTTGACGCTACACAGCATAATTGAGTCACATAATAATTACACTTTTATTTTTCTAATAGGTTTTTATACGATTCTTAAATTTAGAGTTACGCTGTTTGCCGGCAATACGTGAAATGACTAGGCATTTCAGGGAATGACGGATTTCACTAATTGACGCCGACATATACTGTTCTAGTGTTAACTATTTTTGACGCTACAAAGCATAGATATAGCATGTAGAGTAGAAAGAGTATCAACATTTTATTTTTACAATGAAATATTGTACACCATACCTAAAAAACCACCAAAATGTCATTGAGTATGTGAAGTAAGTTTTAAACCTAATACAACGCACGAGTTATCTAACATATAAGCATCTTACAAATAAATTTATTATTTATTGTTGTTATATTAAGTATAGTAAGGTAAAACAAAGACAAATATTATGAGCAGGCTAAATATATTTAGTAAGTAAACTATAGTATAAACATACTATTAAGCTGACGAATGAACATAGTATCCGTAGTCAAGGAAAATCTAAACCTAATCACACATACACACTATTTTCTTCCTGAAGAAAAAAAAAAGATGCTCTGTTGTAGAATTCCTCAAGAAATAAAAATATATTTTAAATCAAGCTATACCCAAAACGAAAATGAAGTCTGAAAAAAGCCTTTTGTGCAGAGAGTCACTTATACAATATATAACACACAACACTAATAAGATTACCTTAACCAGTGAAGAAAATACATCTTTCTAATTAATTCTAACAACTTTTAAACAATAAAAACCAAACCGAATCACCAACAATAATAATCACACGAAATAAGTAGGTATATATATGAAGGTAGGTAAAATAACGCATCCATCTTAATTATAATAAAATAGGGTATCGTAAAAACGACATGAATTTCTAGTTGTGAATTACCTAAAAAGGACACGAATTTTAACGTACATTGCATACAACCTACTTAAAAATCTTTAATAACGTGAATTTAACCATTGGGTACGGTCGACTTTAGGTTCAGTAAAATTTTAAAGAAATTTATTTTTTATCAGAAAGAGCGTATTTTAAATAGAACATTAAAAAAAAATTGCGGTAAATGCATTTAAGCCAAAAAAAAAAATTATTTAATTTCTATAAAAATCAGCATTTTGACGACTGTAAACATGGAAACTCGATGGTTTCTGTCAAATTTAGAAAATATAATTACAACGTTGCCGGATTGTGATAAAATTAGTAGTTAATGGAAAATTGTGATTGCGCATACTGATCCATAAATATGCAACAAGAAAACGAAGCAACGACTTATTAACCCATACCTGGCTACGCCGACCGGCATAGACTCCAACGGCCTGGACACGGCTGAAATTGAATTGAAAACGTAAACTTTTTTTTACATAATTTCTTGCCAATGCGCATACCAGTCCATAAATATGTAACAAGAAAACGAAGCAACGACTTCGTATCGTAGAGTGGCGGCTTCGCCGCCACCAAAAAACAACCCATACCTGGCTACGCCGACCGGCATAGACTCCAACGGCCTGGACACCGCTCAAATTGAACAATTGAAATGAAAAGTCTCATATAAACACATTTATATTCTGGTTTTATCATTTGGCTTGGAGCTATTGAAAAAACAGCCACTGTCATTCCTGTTATGTACGTTTTTTTACTATGTTTGACAACTCCACATTTATAGAAATAAAAATATCAGTTATTCATAAAAAATAATATAATATATTTATAACAAAAAGCAATTGGCAACATCGCTAAAATCACGCACAGGCACTCTTAGTGTGACTGTCAAATCGAAAAAATTAAAAACAATATGGATACGTGAGAATGTAGCAAGAATGTAGTGAATCAATGCATATTCTTAATTTTTTAGCTTACAAATGTGTTTTAATAATATTTGTTACTTTAATTAGGTTAGTGCACACTTACAGAAGATTAAAAAGTGTAAAAATATTATGGTTTTACTTAATCTTTACGGAAAAAGTGACAAAATTACTGGACCTAATATCGACCGTAGCCTAACCATTTAACTAAAGTCTATCAACCTTTTACACTAATAAATTTAGGTTTTAAAGCTTACTTACCTCCTTTTAATCCAAAATTATCAAATGAAACTCATGCACATGACACAAACAAAACGAAAACAAACTATAAAATGGCCGATGGCATCTATAGTGTGAGGGCAGAAAATGTTCGCGCCTGCGCTCGTGTTCATTGCCAATATTATTTATCTAGCGGATATCTGTGGGATATTGAATACAATTTACTAATTTTAAATTTCTATAAACCATAGCTAAATACTTTCTTATTATCACATGGCGTAATATTTAAGTAATTTAATAATTATTAAATCAATTAACATATTTTCCAATATTTAGGTACATATTATATCCATAAATTACATCTACTGGATATCCACCATGGATATAAAATACACCTTAAAAAAAATTAATTTTAAATATCTAAACGGTACTATTAGCCACAATGGCGTAATTTTTTAATAATTTGTTGTATAATTACATTACATTTCCGTATCTATAAATTACATCTCACGGATATAAAATAGATATCCACCATGGACTGGACATTCAGTGGATATTGGGATGTCCAGTAAATATCCAAAGAATTTGGTGTTGCGGTCTGGGATAGTGCGGTTAAGTGTTATACGTTAACGGTAGTGTAACTAAATAATTATACTCTAAAGTACACTATATATAGTGAGTAGAATTTTTATTTATAAAGTTTTTCATCCCTAGATAAGTTAGATAAAAATAAAATTGCTAATTGATCTTAATGATTAAGATTATAATAATCGTGCACTTGGTGCATTTATTAAAAAAAAACTTATTTGTTTCAAATTTGTGCATTTAAAGGAATTAGTGGAAATGAAGCAATTCACTTCTATATTTTATGAAATATTTTTTAAAACATATTTAAGAGTCAATGTTTGAGTTTTGTGTATTTTAAATAAACATGTATATTTTTAAATATATTTTTTAGTCTAATAATATATTAGAAAAAAAAACTAGAATACATTTCTGAAATATTACTATTTAATATTTCTAAAAGATTTCTAATTTTCATTTCAAAAATATTACTATGAAATATTTAGAGGTCATTTTTACATTTTAGGCATATTTCAGAAATGTTTTTGGGATGTTTCGTAATATTTATGCATGGGCAATACCTTCTAGTTTTTTCTTAGGTGACATAGGTTCACCACTACTCTTTTCCTGCTTTGTTTGTATAATACAAAGTTCCTAAAAAGTAAAGATACAATTTTTAAAAGTGCTCGATATTATTTAGAAACATGCAAACTTATAACAGGTTTGTTGCAGCAAAACAGTCCTCTAAAAAGTGCCTTGAACAAATGTAATATATTCGTTCAACTTCTAACATTTCAGTCCATGCAAGTGCCTCTAACCATAATTTCTTCTAATCGTTAGAAACACTAAATAAAATAACAATTTTATTTTTTTTTTTTAATATTAAAATTTAATATTCAAATTTCGTTCCAACGTAACTTTTTGTCTTATTATTTGTTTACCATTTACCAAAAAATTTCTCTTGAATTTTTGCCCAAAATAAACCAGTTCGCAGCAAAAAATTATTTTACGAACAAGATAGATATCGCCATAAAACGAAAATACGAAACTAATTTATCTAGTCGGCCGCTATTAGCGATACTGACAATTACATTGAAATCAAGCTGCCTGTAAATTTTTGAAATTGAAGTAATACTAATTGTGTATTGTTGTTCTGTCCGTAATTTGTTACTTTAATAATTCACTTGTTATTAAAATGGCAAACACAAATGAGGAAATGGCTGATATGCATTACGTTTACGGTCTGTCGCAAGGGAATGAGTTAGAAGCTTCTAGAAGATACCCAGACAACACACCAAATCCCAGAGATATCCACAGAATATCTTTTGTGGATATCCAATATATCCACAGGATATCAGAAATATTCCGTAGATCTAATATGGATATCCAAATGTCCGTCTATATCCAGAATATAGAAGATATCCTATGGATATTCAGCAAAATATCTAATGAGTACCTTCCAGACAATACAAGAAATCCCAGAGATATCCACAGAATATATTTTGTGGATATCCAATATGGATATAGAATTCAGATATTCAGCAAAATATTTTATAGGTATCTTTAGTAGAGGTTCATAAGTAACCAATGATTATTGAATAACCTCAAAAGAAAATAGAGATAAACAATATTTCCAACAATCTGCCTTTGATTTTGCCCACTATAAGGGCACTAAGGAGAAAGTCATCCTTATTAGGACTCTTCAGCAATAAATGGAAATTCTCGACTCCAGTCTCTAATAGAGTGTGATTGCCAAAAAAATTCGATCGAACTCATTTACGGCGGGTTGAGCATGAGTAGATACCAAAGTGGTATCGCCATCTATACTTAGGAAGCAAAATCAAAAATTACATCTAGTAGATATCCACGATGGTTTGCGTCCGCGCTTAGACTTTGATATATTTATATTTATAGTGGATGTCCATGGGATATAGAATACACCTTAAAAAAATTAATTTTAAATATCTGAACGGTACTATTAGCCACAATGGCGAGCACAATGGCGTAATTTTTTAATAATTTGCTATATAATTACTATTATTTATGGACATTTGCATGTCTATAAATTACATTTCATGGATATAAAATAGATATCCACCATGGACTGGACATTCAGTGGATATTGGGATGTTCATTAGATATCCAAAGGATTTGGTGTGCTGTCTGGGTATGCTCAACGGCAGCATCCTTTACATAGAATATTTGCCCGACTTCATCAACGATTACGAGAATATGGTTCATTCAACAAAAGAACGCACGATTGTAGTCGCCATCGAGAAGTAAGAACACCACAGCTTGAGGAAGCACTACTTAATTTTATTGAAGAACAACCTACTACCAGTACTAGAAAGATTGCTTTCCAGCTAAATGTTGATCATATGACGGTATTTCGAAATTTTTAAAGGAACATCTCTTATACCCTTACCATCTGCAACGAGTACAGGCACTGTTACCGCGAGACTTTCCGAACCGTCTTGAATTTTGCAATTGGATGCTGGAAATGATTAGAAGAAATCGTGACTTTCTGAAGACGATCGAATTCACAGACGAATGTAGTTTTTCTCGGGACAAGATTATTAATTTTCATAATTACCACATAGGGCTGATGAAAACCCTCACGCTATTGTCGAAACTCATTATCAAGAACACTTTTCTCTTAACGTGTGGGCCGGAGTTATTGGTGATTATTTAATTGGGCCTCATTTTCTACCTCCTCGATTAAATGGTGAGGCATACGTTCAATTTTTAAGAGAAGTGCATCCCGTACTGCTGGAGGAAGTTCCTTTGGGCGTCAGAAGGGATATGTTTTTTATGCATGATGGGGATCCCGCCCATTTTAGTCAAGTAGCACGTCAGCATTTAACTGAAACATATGCAAATCAGTGGATAGGTCGAGGAGGACCACAGAATTGGCCCGCTCGATCCCCGGATCTCAATTTTCTCTACTTGGGGCCATTTGCAGCATTTGGTTTATCGTACTCCTGTTCGCGATGTAGAGGACTTAAGAAACCGCATCATCGATGCCTGCAGGGTAATTAGAGAGACTCCAGGATTATTTGAGCGAATACGTGGCTCAATGCGCCGACGTCTAGACGCATGCGTAATGTCTATGATTACTACATGTTGTATGTCTTATTAATAAATTAGTTTTGATTATTCCCCTTTTTAATCATTTAATGTAGGTAGTAACTACAAAACAATAAATCGAGTTCGCATTTATGACGATGTATCTTTGTAGTTGTCCGTAAAATAATTTTTTGCTGCGAACTGGTTTATTTTGGGCAAAAAATTCAGGAGACATTTTTTGTTTAGAATGAAACAGGCTATCGGAAATAAAATTTTAAATGGTAAACAAATAATAAGACAAAAAATTTTAGGGGTGCGTTTTCCACCCCTTACAACCATGGGGTGAACCAAATAAATTACTGGCTAAGTGTCTTTTTGGTAGTAGAAAATGACAAGTTAATTTTAATATTGTAACTTGTTTAGTGCTTGTGAAAAAAATTGTTAAACAAATTTTATGTACCCCCTTTAAGGGGCTGTATCTTAACAAGGGATGCTGCAATGAAGTTTCTTTATATGCATCTTTAAAATAGGAGAATAATTTTTGTGACAACCAATTCGTTCTTAAATGCTGAAGATCATTTTTAATAATAACCGCACGCCTATGACTCGTAGACTTCCTTTCCCCTCAGACCCGCAAAGGTCCATGTTGAAAATGTGAGTCACTCTCTACAATTTTGATATTTGACTGTAGGTCCGTATTTATAAACAAAACTCAGCTGAGTCGGACTTGGGTAAGTCGTCCTTGAACGAAAATCGAAGTTCGGTTATATCACGTGAATTTAGAGATGGGTACTAACAAATCCGTAAATGTACTTAACACTTACAGATTTGCTAATGTCCATCTCTAAATTCCGGTTTAACACCGGAACCACCAGGAACTTTAGAGACGTTGAAACCGAACTTCGATTTTAGTTCAAGGACGACTTACCCAAGTCCGACTCAGCTGAGTTCTGTTTATAAATCTCAGAGTATTATAAATACGGACCCTAGGGTGATGCAAATTTTGTGTACATGAGAAAATGCGTTGTTTTTGTAGTACTTAGTTTATTTATTATACAATTTTACCGTTAAAAATTCTTTGTATTTTTAAAGAGCACAATAAAATAAGAAAATAAAATACTAAAAAATGTTTTAAGTAGAATTGTTTATTATAAACAATGTCATAAAAATATATTTACAAACAATAAGCACATCAGTTTAAATGTTTATTTACTACGCAATTTTATAATTAAACAATATATTTACTTATTACAATATCAGTCGAAACATTCATAGTTTTGTTTCTAGTGTTTTTTATTTTTATAAAACCTAAAATCAAGTCTGAACAAACAAAATAGGTCAAAGATTAAAAATTTATATACAATATATTAAAAACAATTGAATTACTTTTTTAAATTTTAACAATTAATTAACATTACAATTTCATTTTGAAAACATTTTAAAATTGTCACACTAATTATTAACACATGCCTTTGATATTTTATTTTCTTTATTCAACAGCTTGGTTAGTGGTTACATTAGTTTTTAAAATTTTTGTCCTTCAATAAAGTCTGTAAAGATTAGATTTTGAAATATTCCACCAAAAGAATAAAATATGACTTTCAGTAGGAGATACAGTTTTAGTTGGCAGAAGACTAATCACAATACTAAAAAAATTAAAAATTAAAATTTAATTTATATTTTTACCCATTGTGTCTAGAAAACTTTTATAGTTCTTCCATTATCAATTGCAGAGCACAGTTATGTGGGGAATCATCAATATTTAATATATACGCACGGCACTCATGCCAAATTAAGAAACGAAAAATAATGTTTACTCCCCTTATACAATGCGGTAAATATTAAACGAACCGTCAGTCCACGTGTACTTGATATATACGAGTATGTGTCAAAATCCATCATCTCCGTTGTTTACCAATGAAAACATCGAATCGTAAACTTAAATGCACTGTATTGGCCGAAGGTTTACGGAGGGCAGGAGTGTTCGAAAATATTCCTGGAAGACAGTCTGCGATATCAGTGGAGTACTGTCGTGCGGTGTGTTTTGTATGTGTGGTTGTTTTAATTTATAAATTTTTTAAATAAATTTAAAATGGCGTTCTTTAGACCATGGGCGAATGAAGAACATGAAATTGAACAGTGCAGTGAGATTAAAGACAGGTATGACTTTAACAATAAGGATTTAGATATACAAACACAAGTTATTTTAAATATATTCGAATGTTTAAAAAAGGAAAATATTCAGCAGTCTGATAATGCGATCATAATAAGAATTACTGAATTAACTAAAGTAAATAAATTTTCCATCTATCGGGTAGTCACGAAAGGGGTTGCTGTGGATCATTCACAAAACCGAAAAACATGTAAAGAAAAACTGAAATCAGTTGACAAAGCTACCCAAGATTTTATACGAAGGACAGTTTATAGTTTATATAAGCAGAACAGGGTTCCGAACAGCAAAAGGTAGCAGATTTTCCAGGCTACACTTATACCAGTTTGGAAACATTGCGTCAAGTTTTGTCAGCATGTGGTTATAAACACAAAAAAACTGAATAAACGGATGGCAATCACCGAATCGTCAAGGATAGTTCAATGGCGACAAGATTATTTGCGTCAGATAAAAGACTACAGAAGTTCTAAGACACATAATTTATCTAGATAAAACATGGTTTGACAGTCACGATGTAGTGAATTTTGAAGTTCTAAGACACATAATTTATCTAGATAAAACATGGTTTGACAGTCACGATGTAGTAAATTTTGGTTGGGTTGACCGTATTAAAAATTGTTGTTTGAATGGGCCATGTTCTAAAGGGAAACGCATTATAATAGTACACGCTGAAAGCAAAGACGGTTTCTTGCCTAATGCTTTATCTGCTAAAAAAATTAAAAACTGTGCAGCTGATTATCATGAAGATATGACAACAGAATTATTTGAAAAGTGGTTTAATGAACAGCTTTTACCTAACATTCCACCACAGTCAGTAATCGTTATGGACAACGCATCCTACCACTCGCGGCAACTCCTTAAAATGCCAAATAGTAGCAGTAACAAAGCTCAAATTTTAGCGTTTATGTCTGAAAAAAATATTCCTATTCCTGCCAGTGATCGTAAAAAAGGCCCAACAAACAAAGAATTGCTTTCTGTTATTAAAGGTATAAAGTTGGACAAAATTTATTATATTGACAAGCTGTGCAAAGAACAGGGTCATACTCTTTTCAGACTACCTCCTTACTATTGCACATTTAACTCTATAGAGTTAATATGCGCAAACGTAAAATCAGAATTACGAAAATGTAATCAGTCTCCAGAACTGAGTAAAGAGGTAAAGAACTCGTAAAGAAAGTTCTAGCAGCAGACCGCCAAGAGCTTTGGAAAAACTGTGTTGAACATGCTATTAAAGAAGAAGATGAGTATGTGGTATTACCCTCTTTACAACCTATCATAATTCAACCAAATGATGACTCTAGTTCAGAGGATTCAGACTGTCATGATTATTTATAAAGATACTTTAGAATTGAAATGTTTTTTTTTTCTTTTCCTTTATGGTTTTTGCTTTGAAATTTCGTTTTCCAGAAAAAAAACGAATGAGGTACAAAAAGGGCTCAGTTCACGTCTGGTACCCTGTTTAAACCAAACGCCCTTACAGGCAGGTACACTTTACTCTTTTTTTTACGTTTTATAATTTAATATTCAGTTGTAGCAAGTTAACGAGCTATAATGATTTTTTTTTTAAGTTTCAAGTAAGACTACAATTAAGTGCATCTGTCTAAATAAGGGCGTATAATAACGTCCAATTTATAATGATTCGATTTCCTTTTAACGAATACTTTCATGCATATGATATATTTTAAAAGTACCTATTTATAAAATAAATTTATAAAATGAGGTATGCACGCCTATGGCAGATCAAACAAAATTATCGGTAAAGGTTCGGAACGATTTTTTATGTTCTGCAATTGATAATGGAAGAACTATACCAATTTCAGATAGACAGGAAATAAGACACTTTTTGTAATAATATTGATTGTTAATTAGCCGATAAAGATACTGTCAACTGGCTGCAAGTGAGATATATCTTAAAAATCGATTCTCCATTGAAAACATTTGACCAATATACTAGTTAAATTTACAAAGCTTTTAATAGAATAGTTTTTGTGCTTTAAACTTATAAAAACTAGTAGCAGTTATGAAACTAAAACATTCATTATTTTTGCATAGTATACTGGTCAAATTAAAATAGGTATTGACTTTTCAATATGGAATTTTTCCTAAATTGCTCATATCCTCTCCTCTAATTTCTAAAACTAAATGCAAATCAGTTGGCCTAACAGTAATTCTACGAGCATGTCTGGCACACTTGTTTGCGTCTTGAAATAAATATGTTAAATACAATTCGGCAGATTCTTGTAACGCCCTCAAAGCTTCAATCTGGACCCTTGTAACTGTGGTGCTACATTCCATCATAATTTCCCGGAAAAGGCGAGAAAATGGTAACCTTAAATAAAAATTAATTATTAATTTTAAATATCTATAAATGTTTTGAGAAGTAATTTAGATTTTATAGCTACTAATAAAGACACTTTTTGCAGTAATTTCATGATTACAGGACCAATTTACTAATTATTTAATCATTAGATAGCTTAATTATTTCCCCCTTTTTAGTTTTCTGATATAGAAGAACTGAAATACCCAAACCTTAAAACCAGCATCAACAAACTACCACTCTTATCGCTATTCGCTGAGTGCGAAGTCATGGTAGGGGAAGCAAACGTAATACTAGCGCTAGCTGCGGATAATTCGTGCATTTTAGGGAGATATTTTGTAATTTTGTCATATCAAATACACGTATACATTTTTTTTTTTTTTTAAGTAGGTAAAAACAATACAATAAGCAACCGAAGTTGCTGTGTTGAATATTGTAATACTAGCAAAAAAAACAGTGAAAATTATAAAAATTTTCAATAACAAAGTGGAAATTAAATCAAAAAAATTAATATGTAGGTGTATATAGGTTGTATTAATAACAGTAATAACAGAAACTTGAAAGGTTTTAAATAAACAATAAATTATCATTTTACGATGTTCTTCAACATCCCTTTATTCTTAAATGTTCATTCAGCAAGCACTAGATTTCAAGATTTCTGCCTTTGATTATTGTATGTGGCTGGAATGTAATATTGTGACTTACTGATGGGAAACCAGTTTTAATCATTAATTTTTTGAATAAAGCTTATTTATTATTTATTTTATGTTTTCTTTCGAACAAAAATGAAAATATAAATAACGATCCTTCTTTTATACATTTTAACTTCATGCTATTATTCAATGGTATTTTTTATTTTGACAGAGTAGGTTAATTCTTCAATGATAACTTATTAGATTTAGGCAACTTCTCATACATTTTCCAGTAAATAATGTTGCCTGCCTATATTACTATTGATTTTTATTGATTATACTTAATTTTTTTCAATTTAAGCGATAAAAATATAAAATAATAAATTATGGCTTTACCTGTTTTACAAATCCATATACTTTTATTAAAACTAACATATACAGGGTAGCTGTTAAAGATGGAATCAAACCTGTAGTGCTTAAACGGGTCAACATACAAAACCCAAAATTTCAGAATTTCAACTAAATATATTTGCGCATATTTTAGCACAAAAATTATTTTTTTTATAATTACAAAATTTTAAGCATGGCCGCCATCTTAATTTTTTTAAATAGCATATAGGTCATGTGATATACCATTTGAAAGGGTTTAACACCCTGATTACAAAAATGTATCACACATGGGGTCTAAACACAACAGAAAGGATATACACAGCCTCCTACGCTCCCTATTAATTTAATTTAAAATTTTGTAATTATAAAAAAAAATAATTTTTGGGCTAAAATATGCGCAAATATATTTAGTTGAAATTCTGGGTTTTGTATGTTGAACCGTTTAAGCACTATAGGTTTGGTTCCATCTTTAACAGCTACCCTGTATATACTTTTTAATTACTTGTCAGTATACGCAGAAATAGTCCATTAGTACCTAATTGAATTAGAGCTGCAGTCACTCACGGAGAGAATAGATGCAGTATGTTATCAGTGTGGTTAAATCGAACTTGGGCAATGCACGCCACGTCACTGTCGCCCATTATACAGGATATCATAGTCCCAGAGCGATTTTATAATATACATAAAAGGTCTGTACAGAATGTTAGCTCAAATTCAATAGGCAATCTAGCCATTGGGCTAGTCTAAAAGTGGATAGATTGCAAATTGCAGTGTGTCAAAGTTATAATTTTTTTTATATTTGACTCTAACACCGGACAAGGGTTTGCAGGATTTTTCCTGTAAAAACGTGCCGCAAGATGCTGAATCCCGACCGTCTGTATACTGGATTAATCGTCGAATTCATCCTTGGCGATGAAAATTTTTTTTGCTTTATTTTAAATTTTACAGGGTGCACCAAACAAAACTACAAATCATAATAAAATAATTATTTTACTATTTTTTATTTACGTAGGTACCTATTGCAATTGTGTCTTAAATAATGTAATATTGAAAAATACGTATTTTATTTCTAATTATACAGGGTAGCTCAAAGTATTTCGATTTTAATAGAGATAATATGGATTAGATCAGTTGCGATTGTGGTAAATAATTTAAAAGTATCTGAATGCCGAAAAAAGCATCTGGTATCCGGATACTTATAAATTTGGTCACGGATACCGGATACAAAATTTGAAAAGTATCTGGATACAGCTTTCGGATACACATTAAGTATCCGAATACTACCCAACTCTGGTAATTAGGGATAACTTTTTTGTGTCTCGGTATATTAAATTCCTAGTTGAAAATGCTGATTCCTTGATATCCAAACAAGATATACCTATGCCCCGTTTGAATATCCACATCGGATGCATCTCAGATAGAGAATTATATCTGAATGTAGATGTAATAAACGCTCTATACTTTATTGGTCATGTGATAAAATGACAAGTTAGAAGTTTATACTTTTTAAATTTGACTTTTGAGACTACAAATCAACCTAAATTTGAAATCTAAACAAAAATTAAGCCAACTAATCACTTTTATATTCATGCTAGCATAAACAAAGGATAAATTGACAAACTTGGTTTCACAGAACACTTACTTTCTGGCATGGAACGAACATCTCATTCACGTCTCATTTCAAATCGAGATGTAAAAAATGAAATCTGGACAGGTACATCTCGGATAAACAAACGCAGATGTAGATGTGTTAGATGTGGATAAACAAACGCTCGAGATGTAAAAAATGAATCGGATGTGAATATTCAAACGCGGCACTAGTAGGTGTTGCTACGAGCAGCCATTTCTGACAGAATTGAATTTAAATGTTTTATTGCATACTGAAACTCATCGTAGCAACGAGTAAATAATGAAAAATATCATCAATAGTTACAAAAAAGTATTCTCAAACGATTTAATTTGACAAATTTCATTTTTAAATTTAACATTTAATTCTTACACTAACGATATTGCCAAGGAAATGGTCCATTAGTACCTAATTGAATTAGAGCTGCAGTCACTCACGGATATCCGTGCGAGCACTGAACACACTCCTGCTGTTCGGTATATCACCTTAGTTAACCCGGTTAGTAAAATCGCGTTCTGTAAATGTCAAATTCTTGAAAATTGTAGATTTAGGGTGAGATTACAGAACGTCTGCAACTTTGCAGATCTGCAAATATGGCGGACTTACAAATGCAAGTATTCCAAAAAAGATCTGCAAATTCGCAATATTTATTGTGGTTTATTACCCCCAACAACACTAAACCCAAATTTGGAATACGAAAACTTGATACTTGCATGTGTAAGTCAGTCATATTTGCAGATTTTCAAAGTTGCCGCCATATTTGCAAATCTGCAAAGTTGCAGACGTTCTGTAATCTCACCCTTACGGGACAATGTTCCTGAAATGCGGTTGGTACCAGCTCTCACCAAAGTGACCAAACCAAAGAATACCAAACTTTTTCATCGGTTATGGTTGACGTTGACATTTGTGATAATCATCTGTCATATCAGTTAAATTTGTTTTGGACTTTTTTAATTTTGAAAGAAATATTTCACTTACCAATAACCAAAAAAGAAACCGTCCTGAAAACGCTAGTAACCGCTTTAACCACACCGGTAATATTCGGTAACTCATCTTGGCGGGAAGCGTCCGCGCATCTCAGTTGGTGCACATCAAATCGCCTTTGTTTAGGGTTCCGCTACGATGATGACAAGATTTATTATCACTCAGCGTTGCCAATTTGAGAAGTCGAGTATCGAGTGTAATATGTTATAAACATAGTTAACAGAGGACATAAAAATCGTATTTTTGGCATATTTACAATAGAAATGATTTGCAACATTTTTGTATAAAAATCTTACCACCACCATCCCCTAGAGGGAGGTAGAGAGGTGGCATCCCCAAGAAATCAATTTAGAACTTTTTAAAAAAACAATTAAAATTTACTATTTTTTTTTACATACAAACCCAAAATTTCAATTTTTTTTTGATAAAATTTTTCGAAATTTTTTTTTTTGAATTTCTGACAAATTTGATAAAAAAAATTGAAATTTTGGGTTTGTATGTATAAAAAATCGTAATTTTAACTGTTTTGTTAAAAAGTTCTAACTTGATTTTTTGGGGATGCCACCCCCACCATATCAGATAGGGGTGGGGAAGGGTTAATTTTTTTTATTTAATTTTTATTTTTATGGGATAGTACATCCATATACCAAGTTTGGTCTCAATATCTCGACCCTAAATGCCCTAGCCCCCAGAGCCGAACCCCAACCGGATTATTTTTGTTGGTATTTCCAATAATCCTGTCTGAACATTTGAGGGGGTACTTTATGGTAGGCCGTTTTTATATTTTATGGAATATATCTGTTATTTATGTTTGGAGAAAAAAATTGTTCAAATAAAAGTTACTTCTAATATTATTATCTATAATTTTTGCTTTATGTCAAAATTTCCTGAAATGGTCCGTATTCGAGAAATTTGACAGAATGTGTAAAATTCTGATTTTTATGAAAATTGTTGAACTAAAAGTTGTTTAATAATAATTTTTGTTTATACATGATTTTTCTAAAATGGACCGTAATGGAAAAATTGGAGGAAAAGTGCTAAATTTAAATTTTTCATTATTTTCGTTTTCAATGAATATCTATAGAAAAATGTTTCGAGGTAGATGTATGTGGAAAATGTATATATTTAGTTTATCCTCTAAACATTTATAGAGGTGCTGCAATAGGTTGTACAAAATAACCGGGAAAAGCCTGTAATAACTAGATAGGAAAGTCATGTGTTGGACACATCAGATTTTTAGTTTAATTTTCAAAAGATTTAAATAAAATTACCGAACCTTATAATATTCTATTATAATTTGATGATCCCGAGTGGCCATAGCAAAAAGACGAAATTTGAGAATGAAGATTTAGATGTCATTAACGTAAAATTAATGTTTTGAAATTAATTTAAGTTTTACCAATTTAGAAAATAAAATTAATTAATAAAAAAAAAAGTGTCTACTCGTGGGTTTGAACTCGGAACCTTTCGATTCATAGACGAGTACTCTAAATATTCGTTATGGAGGCTTACGAGAAAGTTTTACTTTTTAACGCTGATAATCAGATTGCTTTTAGTTTCATTAAAATCTCAGTTTATTTTTAAATATAGACGAATATCTTGTGGAATGCTATTATTTATTGATTCTTCACAAGAATCACTAATTTTTAATTATATTGATTACTTTCTTTTGTGGCACTCTGTGTAACATAGCGGAAAACCAACGAGTATATCTTACTACAGGATAGACAGTTTCATAAGAAACCACATTGCGATATTTCTCGTGCGGTTGATGACGTATTCATCAGAGTCTTGTCGGTCATTATAGAAAAAGATATTTTTGCGTAATATAATCCAACATGAACGTTTATGATAGAAGTTTATATTGGTTTATGTCGCAAAAAATACCTTATAGTATGAGTTTACGTTGTGGTTTTGTGTTTGTTTATATCGATTTATTAATATTTTGTTTTTCAACAGTTTTTGAGTGAATAAACTTTTAAAAATGTTGTTTTTAAAATTTAAAATTTATTTTATTGGATATTTGGCTACGGTCGATATTAGGTCCAGTAATTTTGTCACTTTTTCCATAAAGATTAAGTAAAACCATAATATTTTTACACTTTTTAATCTTCTATAAGTGTGCACTAACCTAATTAAAGTAACAAATATTATTAAAACACATTTGTAAGCTAAAAAATTAAGAATATGCATTTATTCACTACATTCTCACGTAGCCATATTGTTTTTAATTTTTTCGATTTGACAGTCACACTAAGAGCGCCTGTGCGTGATTTTAGCGATGTTGCCAATTGCTTTTTGTTATTTGTTATAAATAAATATATTCATGGTAATACCGTTCTATATTATTTTTTATGAATAATATGACAACTGATATTTTTATTTCTATAAATGTGGAGTTGTCAAACATAGTAAAAGAACGTACATAACAGGAATGGCAGTGGCTGTTTTTTCAATAGCTCCAAGCCAAATGATAAAACCAGAATATAAATGTGTTTATATGAGACTTTTCATTTCAATTATTCAATTTGAGCTGTATCCAGGCCGTTGGAGTCTATGCCGGTCGGCGTAGCCAGGCATGGGGTGATGTTTTTTGGTGGCGGCAAAGCCGCCACTCTACGACTTATCGTAGGGTGACTTGTAAAAGGTATGCCAATGAACAAAAAGATGTAGATGAAACAACTTTGTTGTTTTTTAAAGCTTCTCATACCAAAAATTTGGACAACTTTGGGTATTTGAACATGCCAATTAACAGTTTTGTTTATTTTGTTTCCACATTGGAAAATATCTTTATAGACAATTTTAAAGCAATATCTTTTCATGCAAACGTGCTTGAACAATTAATTAGTATGTTTTTCATCCATTTAAACAGTTTCCCTATACCCATTTAATTAACTTATATGGTAGATAAATATAAGTTAAGAAAAAATAAAAATTGATTATTAGGAGACATCAATGGAAAGCGTATTATTAAATGTACTTTCTTTAATATGAATTGTTTTATTTAACCCTTATTTTCCTCCAATGTTTTATGATCAAGAAGATGAACACACCAAGTTGTATTTAATACAACGTTTATTTATGAAAAATAGAAAATAATTCCAACTCAAATGTGACCATCGTCAGCTTACTGCCAAAACAAGATAAGTACATTTTTACCATTTTTGCTTTAAAGGCATTTTCGTATCCAAGATGATTATAAAAATATACTGCAAAAACCAGATAAGTGTTGGACAATATAAAACTACTGAAAAATGTAGGCTTGTTTTGGCAATAATTCATTTTTCTCAAAACTGTACAGCTAAAACAAGTGCAAATTTAACGAAAAGTAAGAATTTCATATGCAAAAAGGGAATTAATTCTTCTGGAAAAACAGGTTAGAGTACAAAACCAACTATGCCCAAAATCAAATTAGCTCTTTGCAAAGTGGATTAACATTTATGTTTAAAATGTGGCTCTTTATCCAAAACATTATCGCGAAAATTATCAAAACGGATTCGGAGGGCTCCAAAACGTAATGATCAGACGAATGATTCCTCTACTTTCCTTTGCGATAACTGGAAAGTAAAAAATTAAAATAATTTTTGGTATATTTAAATAAAATCAGTAGAGCCATTTTCTCATTCATTTACAAAAAACAATTTCGAACTCGGGAACTTTTAGAATAAAAATCATTCAAAATATCGAAGCCCAATTTAATTTATTTCTTCCCTCATATAAATCTAAAATAAAACCATACCGACTCTGACCAGTCCGTTTGTGCTAAGTCGGTTATCGAAAGGAACCTAATTCGATGGCTGAAGGTCACCAAAATTTGCCATAGCGTTGTTATGTAATTTTTCGAGAGTTACACTTCAGTAGTGAGAGTATCCCTTAGAATATAATAAGAGTAAGGAAGGAGCTTGTGCCATATTTCCAATCGGAAACGTCCGTGACAAAGTCGGCCATTTTGGATAACCATTTATAACTCATTGATTGTTATGTGTCATTTGAAAGTTGGTTTTTGTATTACTGAGGCGCTTCCTAAGGGGCCTCAGTATTGCATTCGTGCAGACGAAAAAATGTTCTTACCCCCATTTTTTAAAACTTTTTTTCATGTTTCCGATCATTCTGAGACGAAAATGCAAAAAAAAAATTCGTCTGGTCGTCTGTGTGTATGTATGCCGGCACAATAACACTAGAACGAAAGTTCTGATTGACTTACAGTTTTGATTTTCTTGAATAATGACTTCTAACTTAGAACCCTATTGATTTTCAGAATTTTCGGTTCATCCTAACTACTTTAATATAAATTTTCTTAAAATCCGCATATGCAATTCTTATGTGACAATTTTAGGAATTCCAATTATTTCTAACGTCAACATTCCTCACATTCTCAACATTCCATAAATTGCAAACATTCTCTAACGATCTGTCAAACAACAGCTGTTGATAGTAAATATTAAATTTCTAAGGCAGGTTGCGACCTTGACACTTGCAACCATAGCCATTTTGAAGGCTATGTTTATTCGAAATTAGTCGCCAAGCCTGCCAATGTGGGTGGCAAAATAACAACGTCTATTTTCTATGCAAGTCAATTGGAATTAAAGTGATTTTTGTAAAATTTAGTGAAAATAATAAAAATAAGCTGCAAGTAACAATGAGTAACAAAAAACGGCAAAGCAGGATTTGCTTCGTTCCGAGTTGAAAAACGGGATATAAATCCGATATAAAATTAAAGAAAACACAAGGAGATAAAAATCCAAGTCTTTTTATAGCTCCTAGTGTAAGTAAAATAATGTATTTATTTTTAAATAATATATATTTATTGTAAAATAGTCACAACCCCTATGTTACGGAGTGTAGTTTATTTAATTACAAAATTCTATAATAAAAAATAAAGTCATAAATCCTGACTTACAAATAACAATAATTACACATTAAATTTAACTTACTAGGAAAGAAAATTTGCTTTTTTTATGTTTTTTGATGTTAGATGAAGAGTTACTACTGTTATTTTTCTTTACTGAACTCCAATTTAGTCATTGCAAATATTTTTATAGGATCCTAAACGTTTAGAACAATGGCAGCATCTGATTCCTAAGGCTGATAAAGTACTGTCTAGTTATTATTCTGTTTGCGAGCTACACTTTTTAGAAGATGATATTTTAAAATTTGATGAGATTATATTAACTAATGGTACTGTTAACAAAATAAAAAGGGAAAGGCCGAGATTAAAGATTGCAGCAATACCATGTATATTCCCGAATCTCCCTTCATACTTGTCCAGTATTAGGAAAAGACGAAAACCACCATTGAACCGAACTGAATTTGTTGCTGAAGAAACTATTCACCAGAATGATAAATTGTAGTTGTTGAATACAAAATTACCACAAAACAGTACTTACCAAATTTCACCATTTAACAAACGTTTTCAAATTGGGTCATACCTAATTTTCATTTTATTTAGATAAAATTAAATAATGAATAGTAAATAATGTTAAACATAAAGACTCATTTATAATTATTAATACCAACAGTATTTTCTGTACCTTAGTTAGCAATTAAAACAAAGACTTATTTACAATAATTAAAATCAACAGTATTTTCTGTGCTTTAGTTAGCAATAAACAATTTGATTTTTATTATTTTCATACAATTTTGTAAAATCCCTAACTAAATATTTTGATTTAAGCCATGTCTTAGGCCCTATTTAGCTTTAATTAAAAAATAATTAGCTCTACCCATCAAATTTCAACACTTATCATCAATAATTTGCATTTTACTTAAATAGGAATAAATAGTAAATAATGTATCAATTAAAATATGTAAGACTTATTTAGAAATAAATACAACAGTTTATTCTGTGCGTTATTTAGCTATAAACAAGTTTATTTTTATTATTTTGACAAAATTATGTATAATTCCCATAAGAAGCCATGTATTTTGAACTACGTAAACCGTACCAGCGCCCATGCAGTTAATTATAAAAGCTCAATTGACGTGTGATTTTTGGGACCGTATTTTGAGCATGCCGATTCGCCTCCTTATCTCTAGTCTTCATAGAAATAATAATAAAGTCATGATTTAATTGTCAGAGTTGTTAAACATTTATTTGCTTCTAAAATGCTTATAAGTTTACTATAGTAACTACTTGCTGATTAAACTATAGGGCTGTTGTTGGTTAATCTGTCAAGTAAACCTACATTTACTCATGATCGGCCCTAAATATTTAAAGCTCTTTATTTTAAGATTTTTTAACTGAGCTAGGGATGTTGTTAGAAGTAAGAGACTTTTGTCGTTGCTGTCTACATAAAATGCAATGACTTACTTAGGAATTAAAAGGTTTGTTTTACTTTGTAACTTCTTAATTTCTCTCATGGTGCTCCTAAAAACTTTGAAAGTTTTGTTTGCCATAATTACTTTTGTTGTGACTCGTTTCTTCATAGGAATCTTCTGTTTTCGTCTCGATTCATTTTGATTTGATCTACTGGAACTTTGGGAATTTGGGACTGGGATCGAATCTTGTTTTGAACGTTTTGAGGGAGTCTTCGATGGAGTCGATTTTCGCTTTACCATGATTACAATTAATTTTTTTTACGCTATGGTAGCTGCTAGCTTATCATTTTTCTTTTGCATAGTCAGGGTACTTTCATTACAGCACTTTTTATTTTTAAACTGGTGTGGATTTTCTCAAAACTTCGCGTTTTTCGCCACTTCCTAGCTTTTCGCGTTTTTTTTTAAAACAGACATCTAACAACGCTACAACGCTACGTTTGACGTTCATGACGTTCTCTAACAACGGTTTTCTTGTCTATGATTGTTCGTTGTGTGCTATGGTTGTATGTGTTCTGTGGTTGGAAACTGAGTTCGACAATTCACTTTTGACTCTGTACCTCAGGAGCGCGTTCAGATGATTTTACACGGGAGTAGACGGTGAGATTACAGAACGTCTGCAACATGTCTGCAACTTTGCAGATCTGCAAATATGGCGACAACTTTGAAAATCTGCAAATATGACTGACTTACACATGCAAGTATCGAGTTTTCGTATTCCAAATTTTGGTTTAGTGTTGTTCGGGGTAATAAACCACAATAAATATTGCGAATTTGCAGATATTTTTTGGAATACTTGCATTTGTAAGTCCGCCATATTTGCAGATCTGCAAAGTTGCAGATCTGCAAAGTTGCAGACGTTCTGTAATCTCACCCTAATTTTCTATCGTTCGCCCATACTACTCTAGAGTAATTCTCATCGGCTCAAAATTTCTGAACGGCAACGAGTGTAAACGTCAACGAATTTGAAAATTAAAGTTTTTTACAGTTTTTATAATGTTCAATGTTCCTCGCTTTCTGTTGTTTTACTTTTTTTACTTATTGTTAATGTAAAAATGTCATTTTAAACTCCGTTTAATACAACGGTGGAATCGGCCCTTAGTTTTTTAAGCCGTTTTTTTCTTTTTATTTCAGTATTTACTAATTCACAGCCCTATTTATAATCGAGATTATAATGAATGATCTTTAAAGTCAATTGCATTCCCCTAACCTTTCCATAGAACAAATAATGATTCTCATTCTTTTATTCCTAGAGTGACAAGATCTGCTAATAGACTTAGGACCACATACTTTGATTTTCTCAATGAAGTGGAGAGGGGTAGAATGAAGGGGTTACATTTGACCCAGTATTGTCGTTTAAATACCACATAGATAACATCTCAACAGCTGCAAATCGTATGTATGGATTCATAGTACGAGTGTGCCGTGATTTTAAAAACACAGATACTATTAAATCATTGTATTTCTCATTTGTTCGATCTAAACTCGAATATGCCTCGTTTATTTGGG